ATTAAATAAATAGAGTTCTATAAAATATATTTTTTTAAATTACAAAATACAAAATGCAAGCTCAAGTGTTTTTTCCGGATTCAAAACTCTCTAAATGCTTATGCTTATTCTTCGTTTCTGTACTTAGGCAATGCACAGGCCTGAACTGCTCCACGGAGAGCTTTCTGACTTTGTCTTAATGTTTTCAGAACATTTCCTGTTTAAAATACTTCTCTGAAATGAAGTAAAACCACCAGCTTGATATTTAAGGGTATCTGCCCTATGTTCTAATTACCATTTTCTCCATTCATTCATTCTCATTCTTTCTGAATGTATCATTTGATCCATCCAAACGCTGCCTGAGTGCTACTGCATGCCACTCCTACACCAGGTGGGAGAAGACGACACACAGGGCAGGTAAGGCTCGCCCTTGCTGAAGTGACCTCCTCATACACACCGACATCCACACCAAACCACCCCTCACACGCCCTGAGCTCTTCTGACTCCACACCTCTGTCGGCCACGGCGTGTCAGAATCCCATTTTTCACGGCTCTGTTCAAATGTCAGCTACTCCATCTATGATAATAGCTATCATTAATCCGGTCCCGCTGTGTTCTAGAAATTGATAGACATCCTACGCAGAGAATGTCTGATTTTCTCAACAACCCTTCAGGATTATACCATCCCTCCTGCCCCTGGACAACATGATTCTCTGAAAGTCTTCTGATTCTACAATGAGATAGGACGTCTATATCTTTCTAAGGTCAATCCTTGCATTTCTTTTTAAGACCTATTTTATGGGGAACCAGCAGTTAGCGTAATGGCTATGTCGCTGGTAGGACGTCTATATCTTTCTAAGGTCAATCCTTGCATTTCTTTTTAAGACCTATTTTATGGACGTATGGCACAGATTTGGAAAAGTGAGCATAATTCTCCGGGTCAGTGACATACCCACGTAAACTGTACCTAGACCGAAAACAGGACCTAACCGCACTCCAAATATTCCTAGCACCTTTCTCCGTCCCTACCCTCCCCTGCCTCCCAGGAGTAGGCAGAGCCCTGAATGCTGCCTATGCGGCTTAGTTTTGCCTGTGTGCATTCTTCACCGAACGTTGCCCGCAGGTGCATGGTCTCGCAGCCAGCTTCACTCACCCGGCCATGTTTGAGGTGCACTCACCGTCCGTTTGCACTTCTGCATCCTATTCCATCGTATAAACAATCAGCTTATTCATTCTCTGGACAGCTTATGGGCAGGTGAGTAGGTTCCAGGTGAACCTGCTGTGAACACTCCACTCCACGGGTGTTGGTGAACACGCATGTGCGTTTCTGCACAAATGACTCATGACTCAGAGTGGTTACTGCAGGAACACGAGCTTGTCCGTCCAGTGTTAAATGCTCTGCCCTCTTTAAAGGCACTTTCCATATTCCATATCTTAATCTTGTTTGTGAATTTGCTTCATTTCCCTTACTAGACTATAAGGGGTTTTCAGCTGAAGAGATATTACTTATGCCCTACCTCATTTTTAAAAGAGGGGTCTAACACATGATTGAGAGAAAACCGAAATTAGAGAGCAGGACAAAAAATAAAGGTGGGGGAAAAAAGGATGAAGTGAACATAATACCCAAATACACGCCACGAAGTCTTATGCATTTTTTCGAAGTGTTATAAATGGTACACTTCCTTGTTATTATTCATTTTGTCATGACTAATTGTCGTTTTTTAAAGAGGTTTTTGCCTCAGGGCACGCGTACTGGCCAGAGAAAGGGAGAGACACAGTGACAGGGAGTGAGAAAATACCCCCTAGGAGGATGGCTACGCGCAATCCCTTCTCCTCCATTCTCCTCCCAGGATCTTAGGCATGCATGCACACAGGCATGGCATGATTTTGAAGTCACCGGGTCTAGGACTTGAACCGTAGTCAGCCATGAGGGAGTCCAGCAATGTAACCACTTTGCCCTGTGCTGGTGCCAACATTGTCTTATGCAATTTTAAAAAACCCAGACCACAAATGAGGTTGCACTTTTCTTTTTTCTTCAGTTTATCTCATGAGACAGAGAGAGAGAGAGAGAGAGAGAGACTCATGAGAGAGAGAGAGAGAGAGAGAGAGAGAGAGAGAGAGAGAGAGAGATGGAGGGAGTGACCTTGTGACCAGAATGGTACAAGAAAAGCACGCTGAGTCCGTAACCTGGACTAAGGAGCACCCTCAGCAGAGTCTACACATCAGTACCCAACACCAGCCTTCCCCGCTAGCTAGGATCATGGGGTGCACACCCAGAGTGCACAGGTAGACTGGGGAACGGAACCTGCCATCTTCCGCATGGATCTAGCACCCCTCAAACAGCTCTTTACTGCTGTGCCAAAGAGCTGCCTCTGTAGGGCAGCTTCCTATCAGCAGTACAAAGCAGGAATCAAAAGCAACTGTTGAACCGTGTTGCTAATTCTGATTCTGAAATTTCCCCAAGGTCCATTTAGGGCAGCACCACGGCACAGTAGTCAGGTACTGTGCAGGGGACACCAGACCCCATGTGGACAGCCAGGGTCTGAGTCTGGCCTTCGTGGCTTGGAAAATATGCCAGGTGCATGTACCTGTACACCCAGGGTCCTGACAGGATGGAGAACTGGAGGAAAAATGACTGTGCCAGGGCCAGGTCCACTGGGGCAGTGATTTCTCTCTCTCTCGGGCATGTGTCTTATCCCCTGGCACTAAAAATTATTTTGAAAAATAATGAAACATCAATTCAAGTCTTGAAGGATCTGTCTTCGAGTGGCAACAGTAAGAAACGCGGTCTGTTTCTGCCCTGCCCTAAGGCCTCTCCCAGTGTGGGCATGCACAGGTCACTACAAATAACTCTTTCAGGGAATTAATAGAATCCAGATACACAGTTCCCAGAAGGTCTAACTCTAAGGTGGGGGTGGGGGGTGAAGGATGACTCAGATTGTGGCTGAGGGACCTCTAGTGGTCTCTGGAATCTTTTCAGGGAGTGTGCATGGTTAAAGAGATTTTTATAGTTCTACTGAAGTATCTCTGCCATTTTTGCTCCCCATCTTCATGGTGGCTACAGCGGAGTTAACAGAGGTCACATGACATGTGACCTAGCAACAGAGGACATGCAGAAGCAGATGTGAGAATCTGGCTGACTTGTGTTCAGACAGACATTAAATGAATTTACCCATTTCTTTTTTGTCTTGGAAAATAAATTCTTCCATACAAAGTAAGTTGTATCAACCTGTGAATTTGTTATTAATGTTTTAAATGATTAATATTTTCAATTTTGTTTTCATTTCCAAAACAGTAAATATCTATAGATATAACCCAATATAAGCAAAATCACTTTGGAGTTCTTGAACTTATTTTTTTTAAGGTTTTTGCCACAGGGTGGGTATGGTCACCAGAGAGTCAGAGAGAGACAGCGAGAGGGAAAGTGAGAAATCAACCCCAGGGGGAATGGCTACACCAAATCTTTTCTCCTCCATGCTCCTCCTGAGATTTTGGATATGCACATACATGTACCCAGAGTGATTTTCAAGCTGTCTGGTCCAGAACTTGAACTGTGGACGTCCACATGAGAGTCCAGTGCCTTAACCACTATGGCACATGCTGGCCCCAGTTCTTGAACATTTATTTTTTAAAGGATCGTTTAATTTTATTTATTCATTCCTTTTAATTTGACCAGAGAGCAACAGAGACAGAGAGAGAGAGGGAAAGTGAGAAAGCAAGCCACCAAGTCCAGGACTTGAACCATGGTCAGCCATGTGGTAGTGTCCAGCACTTTAAACACCATGCCACCTGCTGGTCCCAAGTTCTGGAACATTTTCAAGAGCGTACAGTTCCTGAGACAAAAAGGTTAAGAACCACAGGTATAAAGCAAGATTTCCTCAAAAAGATGCTCTACTCACAGGTCTCAGAAGATGATCTAAGAAATACGTTCAGTAATCAAATATATTTGGGAGATATCGTGCCTCTCTTAGAAATCAGCGAAGTAGAAGAAAATAAACCTAATCAGCTTTAACTCTACATTTCCTAAATACACTTGACTAAGATCCCCCTCCTGCAAGTGTTTCTATTGGGTTGTCGGAAAAGCCATGACATATTTTTCTGTTCTTCTATGCAATATTATCACCCTGGGGGCACACCCAAGAAATGCATGGCTGAATGGCCAGGCCCTCAGTCAATCCGCATAAACAGCATCTCTTACAATCCGACTCTGTCAAGTGTAGACGGCAGGGTCTACAGTTACATCTCTGACAACAGAAAGAGTGATCCTGCTATAAATGTCAAGGCACTAGAGCAAGACAAGGACAAAAATCCCGCTCAGACAAAACTGGCTCTGTTCCATCAAAGACAGTCAACTGAGGCCCCACAGTTCTCTTCTACAGCGCTTAGACAGAGTCACTTCGGCCTGGATGTCTTCCGAGACAGATGGTACCACGCTTGCCTCAGTCATGAAGAAATCTCAATTAAGTACCCACAAAACATGTAAGTTACATAACCTCTTGGTGCCCCTCCAAGGAAAATAGTGGCCAAATGTACTCCTAACGAGTCAACTTCCTTTACTGGGTCGTTAACTACAAGTCAATTAAATGCGAGGGAATGACCACCAAAAATGATATCTTTGTTTTGCAACTATCAATCTTTTCTTTTTGACAGTACTTATATAATTGGGCTGGTGATCTGTTAAGCAAACTCCAAATTCACAATAATAAATGATGTCACCAGACAGCTCAACTGAAGAAAGTCCACAGTAAGATGCAAGGCGCTCTGATATGACATTTTTAAAAAGTGTTTCTTGTGAAGCTTATGTTCTAATAAGAAATAGATACAGCATTAGAGAGGTAGGAAAAGATGGAAGAAAGGATGTAGGATGAGGTGTTCTCACTCTTCTGTTTGCAGCATCTGGTGAAAATTAGCATTCAATAAGTATTTGTCTCAATGAATTTGCCATTTACCTTTAAAATGGCTACTTGCATACAAACAGATAAGCCCCACACAAATATCCAGTAAAATATGATCAAATCAAATAGCATTTGTTGGTACTATAATTTAATTGGCTCACAAAAAAAGTCTACAAAAGCATTTAAGACCACCACTGTGAAGTCCAAATAAATCATTTTAATATACGTATTTTTGCTTCTGTTCATTCACCATTTATGTCTCTGATGCATGTGTATCTATCTCATTTGACTTGCTTCATATTTTACTTATTTTTCAATATGGACCAATCTTCAAGAATAGATGGTTAAGCCAAACTGTTTATTCTTAAACTCTTAAACAGCACAAAGTATCTTGACCCCAAGAGCTTTATCCACTTGAACATTTCCACAGTGCCCGATGAGGCTGCTCAGTATGATGGTTTTTCACTGAAATCTCTTGTGTGGAAGATGGCACAATAAGCCCCGACCTCGTCAAGGCCACTGGTTGATTGTATTCACATCGCAGTTCAGTTGGGTAAGTGGTACAGGCTGAATAACACACAGATCTTCTCCGAACACAGCTGGTGAGAGAGCTTCATCTGGGGAAAGCCAACCGAATCATGAGAGCCTTCCTAATGGTATAATTTGCTCCAGGGTTCTCTTGATACTTAAGAAGGGAACTATCGATCCTTGTGTAGTCTTTTCTTACAAGCACTCTTATTTATGGCGTTAGAGGGTTTTCTTCTCCAGCCATCATTTTATAGTGGGGGGGTTTAGTGTCCTCAGTGCAGAATCGAAAGCAGGAAGACATCTACTTTCATAATTAGAGTAGTGACAGCCTCCTCATTTCCTGCCAAATGGATCAGACCACACTTTCAACCCTATGGAAAGAAACATGAGTAAAGACAGGACTCAGTTTTAAACACCCTACCACTTCCCTCAAACCCAAACAGACAAAATCACATCAGGACTGAGTTGTTCAATTTGGAATGTAGTTTGAGATAGTGAGAGAGTAGGCTGCTGGAACCCTGGAATGAAATGGCTGGGAAATCAGGACAGCCACGAGGGACTTTGAAATGTTTCAGAAACTGCCCCATAACAGAAAGATACGTATCTGGCCTTGTTAAAAAATGTAATAAATGAAGAAGAATGTTGCCACAGATTACAAGTTTTGGTTAATAAGCTGAAAACCTCTCATTCTCAGCCAACTTGGATCATCTTAAAGGAACTAACCATTCGGCCATAAAGGGAGCTTTCTGAGTTTCTGTATAAAGCAGAATCCTGCATCAATTAAAATAGCTTGCAAGTAAACACTATTTTCCCATGAGGATAGTGCTTAAATAGGTGCTTGGTAAATACGTCTGCAAAGCGGGTATCCACGCTTCATATTTAATTACACACACGTTACATTTTTACGTCCGCTTATCAAATGCAAAAGAGGGACATGGCAAATTTGCAAAAGGAATTCTGGAGTGAAATATTAAAATGCAATCTTGGGAGGAATCTATAAAATGGCAACTATTGTGAAATAAGTGGCAAGAACACAATCTTGTCACTAAGCTAAAAACACACTGTCCTATTCTCCACGGCAAAGTAAACACCCACAGACCACACAACGCACTAAGACAAATGAAATGATGATTTTCTTGGTAAGTTTACCTGGTGGCTGCACGTCTTCCTGAACAATGCCAGCTCGATTAATGGCTTGTTCCTTCTCTGAGAAATGCAACAGAAAAATATTCTTTAAGAGGGGACGAAGGTGAAATCTATGTATTTAAATGGGCCAATGATATGGGACAATTGGAAACCAATATTTATGAGTGCTGTTAAATTCAGAGATCCCATTACACAAAGCTTTTAGACTGTGGAAGTTAGATCCCATAAAGCAGAATGACTGGGTACTTTCGATAAAATAAAGAAAGCCATACTTCATAAGAAAAGCTCCCGACTAACAGCTTTTCTCTGCGATCTCAGCATTTTGGAAAGGCAACAAAAACAAGAGAAAAAGAACAATTCTAAAGAACTGGTGGGCGTGATATTACGAGGGGCAGGCTGCTGAACTGAAAGAGCAAGTACAATTAACAAGAAAACCATGTAGTTTATGTGTCTAAAATGCACTCTACTGAAGGACTAGACTCTGAGTTAAATATGCTGTGTTTTTGATAGGAAATAGAGCAGAAAATTAATCTTTGGGTGGGTGGCTTTGGTTTGGATAACTGAAGCTTCCCTAATTGATTGCAGGTGCTGTGCCAATTAGTACATGCGCTACAGCGACAGCAGCGAAGGCCATTCTCTTTGGAGATGCCCAACAGGCAAGGGCCAAGAGAAATTGGGCATTTTATGTCCATGGGCTTCTGGCTCTCTGACACATCTTTCTAAGTGTTTCAGAATACACCCAAGGTCTGTGAAAACAGACTTCTTATTTTCAGTATCTAACACATGGCAGCTTTTCATAAGATGAGGAGCTAACGGATGTATACTACTAAATTATAGTACCTAAATGTTGTGATCGGGTCTTTGTTTTAATAAGGTTGAGAGTGCTTATCTAATCCACATTTAGCTCATATTTAATATTGGGACCTTTTCTTTCTTTTGGCCTCTGGATTCTCATAAAGTTACAGAACACAGAGGTCGTAAGAAACAAGAGTTTTGCCAAATCTAGTATTTGTGGCACTTGTTTCTCTAGTGATATGACAGAAAGTCAGTCCTAAACAATCTATCTGATAGTTTTATCAGTACTAACTTTTGCTGTGGTAAGTAAAACACTGGACAAGGGAGATTACGTGAATCTTGATAACTATTCTAAGAAGGACCAAGAGAAGACAGGGCATAATGAGGTCAATTATAGACAACAGCCTGATGGGTCCACTGGGCCTCTTGGCAAAGTAGCTGGTGAATAGCAACCAAGGCCCTCTGGACCAAGAAACACTAAAACATTTCTTCCACATAAATTGGATGGTGTGGAAAATCTTAAGAAATCACTTTCTGAACTTTTCCTAAGACATTAAATTCTTGTAGGATTGAGCCCTACCAACTCTGACATGTAAGTCTAAGTAGGGATGCCTCAAAGTTGCTCTTAGAAAATGCTAGCTAGTGAGAGACCACATTGCCATCAGTCTTGCCAGGGACAAAAATAGATAACATTTTTCCAGACCTAAAAGGTCTATTCCCTGATATTGTGAAGAGGGAAGAGACAAGTTTTAAAAATAACTGTCAGAATGCATTCTGGACCTATAGATTTAAGCAAATCAGACATCCTGGCATACCCAACAAAGCCAGAGAAGTTGGCAGACTGCCATGCATTAAAGGAAGCTGACTTTCAGTGCAAGGACAGAATGCCTAATTGCATTTGAACCTCTTATGATGCAATGGAGAACCAAGTAAAGAGAAAGGAATTCCTGTCTTCTCACTTTCTTGCTAATTGCTAATGAGGTTGAAGAGAGGTTAAGGATTTATTTTAAGTAGGCCATAATCTCTTTATAATCCTGTCCTAATGCAGCCACCACAGTAGTTTGGCTTGGCCAGGCAATTTAAACCTCTTTGCTAAACCAGTTCCTACCAAGTGATAACCAGGTATTAGCACGCCATCTATATCCCCTGGTTCTTTAATCCATTAATGTTTTAGAAAAACTCTACCGCCAAAGCAGTCTTATGTAAATTCATGATGTACTACAAAGACACTTTATTTGTGAATGCAGAACATGTTAAAAAGAAAACAGAAATAAGTCCCTCAGGATTTAGCAGAGTTGACGGTAGGTTTCTATTTCGCTGTCACTGGAGAAACAGCAAATGTATATACACCTCAGGGAAAGGGTAGTGGCAGAAGTCGGGACAAGCTAATTACTGACTTCAATAGTGAGCATGTTTCTATCAGGAGTGAAATGATTAACACCCAACTATGGAACACTGGGTTGAAAATCTCCCCACTCCAGTGTCTCAGCAAGCCCGACTCTGCCCCCTGGTGCTAAGGCAGCGGTTCGATTTGTAGTTTTAATTGCAGATCGTTATCGCCAGTCAAAAGGCCAAGATATACTATTAAAGCTGGTCACATGCACAGACAGGCTGATATTTGTATGTTAATAAAGAATTCAGCTAATATGTTAATAATAAGAATTCAGCTAGTAAGACTCTCTGTCAAATGTCCACACTGAGAAGAACCTCTACCGTGTGACTCATCACTGTATCTATCATTCACAACTCAAACAGTGCAACACACCCCAGTGCCAGCTCCCTTGGCCATCTTCCAGCTGCTGGTTCAGGGTGCTCTAGTGAGGCTCAGCAGATGGAAAGCTAAAATGTTTTTAAGAAGGTATACAGAATCCAGTACAGAACACAACCTTGAGACTCTACCTCTTCCATCTTCCCCTGGTTCAGCAAGTAACAGTAATAATTACTATATATAATTACACCTGTATGTACGTGTGTATCTATGTACATATGTATGCATAAAAGGGAAAAGGGAACTGTACAGACACACTAACAGCTGGTAAATTTAGAAGGATATATACGGATTTATTGCATTCCTGGATCTCTTCTACCAGTTTGAACTTTTTAAAATAAAAAACTGTACAACTGTAAAACATGTATAAGAAAATCTAACAACATTCTGACTACTCCATGACTGCTTCAAAGTACCTTTTTAATAATATCAAACCTAAAATTTTTAAAAATACTTTCCAGTGCTCCTACTATCTTTTTAAAGTTTATTTCTTTATTTTTTTTACATGAGTGAGACAGACACAGCGAAAGTGAAAAGGACAGACACCTCGAGCAGGGTCTTGATGCTGTGATCCATCTCCAGCCTCGGCCAGCTCAGATCACCTTGGAACTTTCCCTTGGGGTCCCCCAGTGCTTCCATTCTGCTGCTCTTGGGTTATTCAGAACTGGATGTGCCCCGTGGTACGTGTGAGTCAACGGCCATGGTGGGACGCATGGGCTGGCATGCATAATAGCGAGTGTGAACCAGGTGGCTGCGGGGGACCGAACGACCACTAGAAGCACTGGCTCCTTCCACATTTCTGCTTCCTCACCAGAGTCTGGCTGAATCCACGGAGCCGTGATGTCTGCGAGACGAGACTTCAGCCTGTGGACTCTGCTTGACTATACAGTGAAAGGGATGGAAAGCACCTTCTCAATAAGCACCCGGTGGGGAAAGGGAAAATGCCCTAACGAGTAAGCACTTCCCCACATCCAGGGACTTCCGCTAGCCCTCCTCTGCCTGTGTACATCATACTTTCAGTCGGAGGCCTCAAGGTGCACCAGAACAGAAGCAGGACCGAGCAGCAGTAGAACGGAGGTCTCCCCGCTGTTCCTCCTGCCCCATCACCTTTCATTTTGCTACTGTTAAGCACTCTTCACTGCCTTCAAGGCACCGTGAGACGGGGGAGAACAGACAAGGTCAGGGGCGCTAGGGCCCAGTGTCCACTCGGTGATTAAAGTGCGGCGTGACCTTGGACCAATCACCTAAATGAGGGGGCGGGAGGAGCTCAAGCCCCTTCTGGCAAAGCTCTACATGGTTTTGTACTCTGCACATCTAATTAAAACGAAGAACGATGAGGATCACAGAAAATGACTTATTCTGCTTCGTTTCACAGGGTAGCCTCAAATGCCTAAAATGCAGGTTATTTTCAAAAGACCCCATTCGAGATCACTGTTGAGTTCAAGGACACGAAGACAGATTAGGCTTCTCATTATAGCATCTGCACTCTTCCCCAAATGTGGCCTCTTCAGACAAACCACGCTGTGCCAACAGAAGAGCGACATCTGGGGTCCCTCCAGAAGCCCAGCAGAACTGTACCCATACTTCTGGGTTCGGATTGCTGACCCCACAAGACCATCATGTCCCAGTGCTCATTTCGGCACTGGAGGCACCCCTGTACAGAAGTGACCTTGTACTCCAAGCAACACTTAGCAAAGTCTGGCTGGGTTAATGAAAGAGCTGAAGATCACGCTGAATGTCAGAACAAAACCCAACAGGTTTTGTGACAGTGATAGTGGCTTGCCTGCCTCGCAATCATGCAAGATCTCCTTGGCTTTGTTTGGCCTAACCAGGTTCTTCCTCTTTTCGGCTGCCTGTTGGCTTATTCCAGCAGAGACCCTGGAGCCTACCTTTCCCCATACCCCGGCTGGCACAGGTGAAGGCCTGAACTGACCTGATGCTTCAGCTCTCCAGGGTCTGGGCTTCTCCCTTGCCAGCCACTGGCTCCAAGTCTCATACTGACTAGTAACCCAGTTCTCAGGGCGTGGGCTTCTTCTCAGCACACCCGGACCCTGGAAATACAACTGGATGCAGGGCAGTCAGAGCAGGAAGACCTAACAAGACAGTCCAAGAAGAAGTGGCTGAAAGGCAGGAGCAGGGGAGCAAACCCAGGAATGTCGGAGGAGGGGCCAGACATGGACGCCCCAGGAAGAGGGTGTTTTAAAGAGGGAGAGTCTAGCCTAGAGGGTGTGCATCTCACCCAAATGACCTGACCTTCTGAAAGGTCACAAAAGGGAAGAGAAGCCATCACTTGCAAGTCCCCACAACCCGCCAACATCGGACTACGTTTAGCTGCTCCTCCTCGTGCAAGCAGCGCCCTGCCTTGGTCCAAGGCTCTGTCTCTGCCTGAGCTCCTGACCCCACTCTACGGACTGCGTCCTCTCTCTAGCATTCTCCTTTTGTCTGAGACTCTCTTGGCTCTCCCATCTTGCCCAGTGAAAACTGAAACAAAACTCTCCCTAGACCTTGTGACCTGCTGCCAATATCACTTTGCCATTCTGCTCTCCATATAAACATCTTTAGTACATTTAATAGGTGGTCTATCCAGTCTTCGAAACACTGCAGTCTGCTTTCTGCCCACTTCCAAATCTTGACAGCATTCTCAACAAAATAAAAATAATAATTTTTACCTTATTTTTGCTAAATCCAATGAATATCTTCCCTTCTTATCTTTCCAACTGTCTTCGTGCAGCTCAATCCCACTGACCACACCCTTTTCCATGAAGCTCAGTCTTCGTGGGATTTAGGATTACAGCCTCCCTGGGTTTTAACCCTCTCTCCGACCACTCCTCCTCAGTCTCCTTTGAGGGCCCCTGTCTTCCTCCGACTACCAGCTCTTCAGACCTGAAACACCGGTGTTCCTGCCTGCTGTCCTAGGCCACCCTGTCTCTTCTGATCTGAGAGCAGCCTGGGAACCTTACCTGCTCCACTGACTGGGTCCCAGTGCTGATACGCCCGGCGCTAGCACCAGCCCAGGAACAGTATCTTGGCTCCAGACTGGTAGGTCCCATTTCTACTGGAAAATACCTAAAAGTGCAACTGGATACCAAAACCTTCATGCGTCCAAAATGGAACTAACTCATCCTCCACACCAACTTCTTCTTATGTTTTTGAGTTACGGACTAGCGCCACCATCTCCTCAGCTGCTGGAGGCAGAAAGCTGGGGGCCCATTCTCCCTCTCTCCCCTCACTTTGGTGACTAGTTCATCACAAATCCCTGCAGACTTCACGTACTCAATGTGGCTCCCAATGCACTCACTTCTCCCCAGTCACAGGAGCACCACTCCAGATTCAACCTAGTCACTTCTCCCTGAGGTCACGGGGAATACAACCTGTTGTCTATGCCTCCCTGCTGCCCTCAGAACCGACCCTTCCAGCCCCGCCTCCATACAGTCAGAGTGATGCTCATGCAAAGTGAATCTGGGGGCCAGCAGGTCGCATGGTGGTTAAGGTGCTGCATTCCCATATGGCTGACTGCAGTCTGAGTCCCAGACTCAGAAGCCAGGCGCATGTGCGTGCGTGCCCAAGATCCCAAGAGGAGAATGGAGGCGAGGAGATTGTGGAGGGGCCATCCCCTCTGGTGGCGATTTCTCACTTTTCCTCTCTCCATCTCTCTCTGGTGAACACACACACTCTTCGGCAAAATCCAATTTAACATCTATTTTTAAAAAATTAAAATTTTTTAAAAAGTGAATCAGATCCCTTCATTTTCCTTATCAAAATACTTTATGATCTTTTACTGGCTACACTTTAAAGACCCCAAAGAGTTACTGAAGTATGTTAATCAAGCAAGTAAGATTATAAAATTAAAAAACAAAAGACTTTTTTTTGGGGGGGGTTGCTATAGGGCGCGTGCACTTGCCAGACAGACAGAGACAGAGAGACACAAAGCAAGAAATCGCCCCCCATGGGGGATGGCCATGCTGCAATCCCTTCTCCTCCATTCTCCTCTCAGGATCTTTGGCATGCACGCACACGCACCCAGCGTGAGTTTAAGCCACCGGGTCCGGGACTCGAACCGTGGTTGACTATGTGGGAGTCCAGCAACATAGCCATTATGCTAACTGCTGATCCCACAAAAGACTTTTCAACAGCCATGCAGCAGACCTGGAGGTCTGTACATTCCCAACAAACAAAAACAGAGTCTCCCTCTTACAAATTCTCACCAAAGAAATACTAACAGCTGTGTTTCAGAAGGAAGAAGAGTGAACTACAAATGAGAGGCAAGAAGGATCTGTGAGTAAAGAATCTGGATACACAGTCACTGGGTAGGTAAAACGATGATGATGTTAATTAACTGTGGAATAAGAAACACAAGCGGAACTAAAGTAATATGTATGACATATGGGATAAGGATTACAACATTTTAAGTTCTTTGTACTGTTTGGAAGATAAAGATATCGGCTAACTTTAACAGTAATCGCGAAAGAATGTAAACAGGATATAAACCTTACAAACTTGTTGAGGAAGAACAACAAAAACCTAGAGAGCAGAAAAAAAGGGAAAAAAGCAGAGAAATAGAGGACTAGAAAACACAAAATAAGATGGAAAAAAATAAACGCACTATGTCAGTAAAAGTAGTAAGTGAAAATGAACTGAATCCAATAGTTAAAAGATATGATCAGCATAGATTTAAAAATCTGGAGAATGGGGCCTGCAGTTGGCATAATGGCTATGTCGCTGGACTCCCATGTAGTCGACCGTGGTTTAAGTCCTGGACCCGGTGGATCAAACTCACACCAGGCACATGTATGTGTGTTCCCAAGATCCCGAGAGGAGAATGGAAAAGAAGGGATTGCAGCATGGCCACCCCCCCGGGGGGTGATTTCTCGCTTTCTGTCTCTCTGTCTCTGACCAGTGAGTGCACATTCCATATAGCAAAAATCTCTTAAAAAAAAAAAGTTCAACCAAAAGTCTTGCTTGGTCTGTCTTAAGTGATTCAGACAACCAGATCCTAGAGTATCCTTATGAGGTTGCTGTTGGGACACATGGCGCAAACCCTACCATGATCATCCTATTACAGTAGGATTTCTCAACCAAGCACCACTCATATTTCTCACGAGGGACTGACCTGGGAACCACAGAAAGCAAAACGCATCCCCAGCCTTTATCCACCAGAACACTGGCCTCCCTTACATCCCACCTCACCCTCCTTGTGACAAGCAAAAACATCTCTGGGTAGAGCTGAATGTCCCTGGGGGACAAAAATCACTCGCCTTAGCGAACCACTATTCTAGACTTCATAACTGAAACCCTTCCAATAGGAGCCACGGTGGACCCTTTATCCCAAGGTCAACTCCAGAGGCCATAACAGCGTAGCCTGGGGCAGGAACGCAATGAGAAAGGATGAAATAGACTGTGCAGGGCTTCACACAGCCCCACGCTCACACCCACACACACGGTGCAGGCGGACAGGCTGGAGGCAGGACGCACTAAGGCCATTTCAGTCTTCCTGATGAAAAGAAGCTGCAAGGAGAGCTGAGTGTGTACTTAAACGCTGTCTCCAGAAACCAAATGTAGCCATCTGTAATGGGTAGAGCATTTACACGGAGCGTTCGCCTTCACATCACCAAGCTTTCAGCCTCCACTAATATTCTCAAGGGGCAGGGCTGGCCCTCTTCCATCTTCAAGATGATTCAGGTTTCCTGGAGAACAAAATGAGTCTCTAACGCCTAATATTTTCTCTCTGACAGATGGTTTCAGAGGTATCAAAGTGCTAATCCTTGCTGAGGTATAGGTCTCAAGGAAGGAGAGTTTGGCTTTTAGAATGATAGGGCTAGAATGATTAAGGAGGAAAACGACTCCCAGGATATTTACCATTGTCATGTGAACCACCAGCTTAAAATGAGAGAGATCAACAGAATGTGAAAAATGATCGGAGGAAAAACTCAAAACACCCAGCTAAACGGTTGAGTTTGAACTATTTCTGCTTCCAGGACATCTCCGGGGGTGGAAATGAAGGGCACTAAGCACCTTTCTGCTCAGGAATGATCAGGACTCCATGAGCCTTCCTCCGGCATGGATAGAGACCTGGGCTGCACCCTCTGCCTTCCCACTTACTAGCTATGTGACCTGGGGCGCATTAGAAAACCTCCCTGGGCCTCAGTTACTCCATCTGGAATGTTGGTAATACTGCCTTAGAACAAAGTGAGGTTGTGCAAATTAGACAGCCCGAAGTATGCCCACGCTGACCCCTAGTAACTTCAGGGAAGGTGGACGGTGAGCACGACCCAGTCCTGAGCGTCAACCTGCACTGCGCACACTGCTTTCGCGCGCAGTTGCACCTCTGAATCTCCCAGGAGGCTCCAAGCTCGATTCCAGATAGTGCAGATGCAGGCATGTACAGAAGAGGATGCCGAGGGTTCGAGAGCCTGAGCCACCTGTCCACAATCACAAAGATGCACATGGCGCCGTTCGAACTTGGCTCTGTCTGACTTCGGTGCCAAGTTCTCGCCATCGCACCCCGTGGAGAGGACGACGGGGCGGTGGCAGGGATGGGGGCAGCTACTGTGCAGGGATACCGTATGGGGTCAGAGGTCACTCACGGTACTCCTCCAGCCGCATTAGGGGCCGGAAGTAGATGGGGTAGAAGGCGGCGCCGATCAGAGAGACGAAGCCACCGAAAATGAGTGCGGTGCGCAGGTTCCGGGACATGGCGCCGGGCGGGGGCTGCCCTGACTCCTGAGCGCCCCGAACCCTCAGGATCCAGGATCCCGCCTGCAGGGCCTTGACCCCTCTCGGAAGAGGCGGAGCGGCTTTCGCTTCCGGGCCTTGGGGGGCGGGACCAGGGCGTGTCCGTGGGCGGGCTCGGGGCGGGGCGTAGAGCTGTGGGCGGGGCCAGGGCTCGCGCTCCGCCTCCCCGCGCTCCCAGGTAGCGCGCTTTGCTGGCCCCGCGCAGGTGGACTGCGGGCGGAGCTCTGGCCGCGCCGCCTTCCCCGCCCTCGTCCCGGTTCCTTCCTCCGCTCCAGCCGCCCACCTCCAGACCTCTTTTACCACTCCTCCTATACCCAGCACGCTTTCCCGTTCTTCCCCGGTTGAGGTGCTGTCTAGGGACGGCCTGCCACGAACACGAACGAGCCCTCTACGACTCCTTCCACTCTCTTACCTGTCCGCTCAGTGTGCAGGTGCGGGAATGGGGATCCGAAAAGTCCCTCTGCCTCCTCGAGGACACCTATTTGTGGGATGAGAGACGAAGGGGCAAACCTCCTGGCCCTGGCCGAGCTCCCGCACCCCGGCTAGCCTGGGAGGAACGCCGGCTTAGCATCTAAAAAACTACCAGTGCGTCTGTTCTGACCTCATCTGTCCATCGCCTCCTCTCTCCCTCTTCCCTGCGCTGGGCACGAGGAGGAGGCGTGGACAGGGGTCAGGGCAGGGAGCCAGCGGCCAGCGGTACCTCCCACGGGACGTTGGGGCTCTACCTGACTGCCTGGGGCCAGACACCTGCGTCCTCTTCCTGGCTGCGTCCTCCACCCCTGCACCTCGCCCCCTTATGGTGGGTGGTGCTGAACACACTGGGCCCTGCGCGGACTGGGCAATGAGACTAAGACTCCTCCACCCTTCCTATTAGTAAGGATAATCTCAGCAGCTGGGTACGGGAGGCAACGAAGCTTTCTTTCCACGCTAGCAGCATTATTTAGTTCAGAAAAGATCTACCCATCCGATCTTCGAAGATGGTGTGGACAGTGCAGGATTCCTCTTCCTTTGTAGTTGGGTAGTTGAATCAAGCTACCACGTGTGTCCCCAGAAGCGCATACATCAGGTGTCCAGCTGTCAGCGGATTGATGGACTATCCGCCATGCCCCAAACACCAGGCAGATGCTGCGGGGGACTCGAGATGGATGAGCCCTGAGCCCTGCTCTTGTGGACCCTACCGTGTGCAGGAAGAGACGGAACACATCCATAAAAGGATAACTAACCCGGCACAGCTCGCTAGGGATGGAGGACACGGTCTGGGGGGCTCCAGAAGTTCAGAGGAGGAAGACAGATGACTGTCAGACGAGGCTGCTGCTCCTCCAGCACAAACGGGAGCGTGTTAACATAAGGGCAGAGGCTTGGTAGCAAAGAGGGGACCTGCACACTTTACGCGACATGATGGAAAACGCCCGGGTGTGGTGCACATTTGTCATTTTAGCAGCTCGGCATGCACTTCGGGTGTGGTGCACATTTGTCATTTTAGCAGCCTGGCATGCACTTCTCCTTTCTCTGTTAAGAGTGCCCCAAGGGTCTTTGGGAAGACCACTGCTCTCCCATTCTTGGTCCAAGAGGTGACTAGGGCTCCCACCCTCATGCTATTTCTTCTTTGCTGACAGTTAAGCACCGAAGCTGATCAAGCTTCCTCACCACGTGGATCGGTTGGCACAGCACTCAGGCCCGAACACCCAGCACGGCTGTGTCCTCTTGGCCTCATGGCTCAAGGTCATACTGCCCATCTATCTCTGTGACAGGAAAGCTGGATTTGAACTTGACGGAATGAGATCCCAGAGTCCTGGGGTCACTGTTTAGGAACCGGGAATGAGGTCAGCACCGCAGAAGGAGAGCTGAGAGCTGGCGAGAAAGCAGAGGCTGATATTGCACTTGAGCCAGCCGTGCCTGAAGCTGGAGACCTGCCCCTAGGCTGCTCAGGAACCCATAAAGCTAATAACGTCTGCCTTGTGCTGGAGACCGCTTTGAGTTGGGTTCCGTCTTTTTTTTTAATTTAATTTAATTTATTATTATTATTATTATTTTAAATTTGCTATCTGGCATGTGTGCTCACCAGAGAGGGACAGAGAGAGAGAAAGTGAGAAAGCAAGTCGCCAGGTCTGAGACTTGAACTGCGGTTAGCCATGCGGGAGTCTAGCACCTTAACTACCACACCACCTGCTGGCCCCCGGGTTCTGTCTTCTACAACAGGAGCTCCAAATGAAAGCTCCATGGGTAAGTTTCCACTTGCCTAACACCTCATGAGCTGCAGGGCAAGGATGACTGCTTTATAGAATGGGTCATGGAAAGGGACCAGCAGTTAGCATAATGTCTATGTCGCTGGACTCCCATGTAGTTGACCGCGGTTTGTGTCCTGGACCCGGTGGCTTAAATTCACACCAGGCGCGTGTGCATGCGTGCCCAAGATCCCAAGAGGAGAATGGAGGAGAAGGGATTGTGGCATGACCATCCCCCCCGGGAGGGTGATTTCTCACTTTCTATCTCTCTGTCTGTCTCTGTCTGGTGAGCGCATGCGCCTTATAGCAAAAAAAAAAAAAAAAAAAAAAGAATGGGTCACGGAGAGCTGGAGGCCTGAACTGGCCATGGTCACACACTGGCTGAGAGCTTAGCTCTTACGGTTTTTCAAACAAAGCGCTCCTCCATGATGTCATCCTGTCTCTGTGAGCAAGCTTGGTGGGATGATCGCCAGCCTCTCCCATAGGCCTCTGGGGGCCAGTATGGAGGGGACCAGTATGGGGTATCCTGGTCGGGGCTTCAGGAGTACCCCCGAAGCAGAGATAGGACCAAAGTGGCAGATGAGCCACCTCTTCCCGAAGTGATATGGTAAGTGACTTAGGGTTTTCTCTGTCCCCTCTGTGCTGTTCCGAAGGCATTGGCAGAAATGATTAGTCCATCTTCGCCATTTGTATAGATGGCTAGCTTTGCCTAACACACACACACACACACACACACACACACACACCCAGTTACCACATGCCGGCCACAAAGCCCTACCAAATGCAAGTCCATCGCTCAGTGTGTTCCCCATTACTGGGAAAAACCACGGTATTCCATTTGTTATTCTCCCACTGACCTATCAATTCCGTCAACAAACAGTTGTTGTGTGCAGGTCAGTTGGGGATGTATAAAGGACCTGTTCAACATGCGTTACTGCGGCAATGGCTCACTGAGCTGGCGCAGGCGCTCCTCGGGGGCTGCCGGCTGCCGTGGTGCAGGGAAACACCAAGTCCGCCATCCCTACGGCGTCTACGGTCTGGTGGGGGCTGAGACGTGGCAGTGGCTTGTATCAGGTCGTCGGAAAAGCCATGATGCTTTTTTGCATAGAAAAAATGTGCCAGGACTGTTATGATAACCCAAGCACTGCCTTTTGACTGTTCAGGCTCCCCTAATAATATCTCCTGAGGCCTCTCAGAGAATGACCTCTCGCCTTGGCATTCTTGGTAGGACGTCCATCCAGGGCCTGAGCCCTGTTCCGTACCAATATCAACACTCGTTCTGTGTGGTCTTGTGCTTAGGGTTACTCGTTTAGTATTTAGTGCCATGACTAGTGCTATCCTCACGTGCAGAAGAGGAAATTGGGACCCAGTGAGGATGATGTGCCCAAGGTCACATGACTACTAAGTAGCAGAGCCAGGATTCAAACCCGGACACTTCCCTGAACCCCCAATCTCCATTGCTTTGCAAAAATAATGAGCTCACATTGCCTGGATGTAAATATGATCCAACCCGGTTCAGTTGTTCCTCTCTTTGTCCCAGAAATCAGAGTGAGAAGGACAATGACACAGGACAGATGACTCATTGCCCTGTTTTTTTTGTTTTTTTTTGTTTGTTTGTTTGTTTGTTTTGAGATTATTGTATCTCTCCCACTTTCTCATAATCCTAGGGCTTTCTCACTTGTGTCTTCTTGTGGCCTGATTCTTGAGGGTTCATTCTATTGTGCAGGCCACCCTATATGCTTCTAGTAAATTCCCTTTGAACTTAAGTTACTAAGAGTCAGTTTGAGTTGCACACCTGCACACCACTAGGAGCCCTGATAGACACAGAAATTAACAATTACCTCCAGTGCATGGCCAAAGGAAATTTGGTTCCAGGGGGTAAGGGGGAATGTCTTTGCAAAGGGAGGGAGAGCTCAAAATATAGGGAAACAAGATGCATGTCAAATATAGCAGGAGTCCTAGGGTGCATATTTTCACCTCAATCACTGAGAAAAAAATTGGTTTGGGCTCCTATCTGGCATTTCCCCCTTCTTCTCTTGGATGTGAAGATTGAATGCTTGCAGGGGGCAGACCACCAGCGGTGTCGCACATGGGGTTCAGACAGACATCAAAGTTAATCTGCTCTCTGATCTAAGCAAAGTGATGAAGAAGGTTTCTTGGGACAGCAGCTTCACTAATTGTGGCCCCTGTAGCCCACTGGATGTATTCCAGAATATTGTGAGTTGCTAAGAAGTATCGTTACTGTTGGTGGGAAAACAGACAGGCAGCTGGGATTTGGGACCGAGCAAGAGCCTCTAGGCCTGCACCTGTTGAGAAGAAGAGAGTACGGGAGGACTGCCCTGGTTTTGGTGGGGCTCTGTGAGGCTTCGAGTCTACCCAGCTGTGTAAATATTTCTGATTTAGACCATTTGTCAAATATTTCTTCTTGGATCCGCCTTCTCTGTAAAAGAGCTTTCCCCAAATGCCTGTCTTGGTTGACCTCTTGCCATGCTGTGTCCCTGATGTAATTTCGACTTGCAAAGTGTGCAGCCTCAGGCTTTCCTCTGAACTCCAGCGTCTGTGCCTGGTGGGCAGCTTCAGGTTCAAAACCCACTGGCTCCTGCTCCCTCCTCACTGTGGCCAACCCTGGCGTGGTTTGAGGCTTTGCCAGTTCTCCCTGGCAGTGACTTCTAAGCCAACCTTGCACGCACAACCCTCTTCCATCACTGAACTGTTTCATTCCTGGACAAACTAAAGTTCTCTTCTGGAAACACCCATCACTACCCTGTTCAGAGCCTGAAGTATGAATTCCTCAGTGTTCCAGCTGTGGCCGACAGGGCCCTAAAGGCACCTGCTGCATCCAC